ACTCTCACAGACTGTGTGATGTAAGCCACAAAGAAATGACAAAGTAAGATCAATAGAAAGAGAAGAGGGAGGCACAACCAACCAGAGAAAATGTGAGAGGTGAATGGCCCTGTGTAGAGCCAGTCTGCTGCACATGGGCTGGCACTGGTGATGATCACAGCACAGCTTCTCTGCTGTTAGATGTGTCACAGTGCTGTCAGAGAAGTGGACACACACCTTGATCCTGCAGGGAAACTGAAGTTCTCAAAATTTTCTCCATGTATTCATGTCAGAGATTCTTGTTACAGCCATCGAAAAACAATTCTCTACTACTGCTTCATGCAAACATTTATGTATCAAGTGAATTACTTGATTGGGAAAACATGCAATTCATCCAGTAGTACAACCTCTCAGTACCTTCACATAGATCAAGGTATCTAGCTTTCCCAATCTTCAAAGCAAAAGAGTAATAGTAAAGACATCTTTTATCTGAGATTCAGTGAGCTGAGGGATCTCATTACAAACACAAAATGCACATGTGAGAACACAATCCCTCCAAGATTTATTGAGCCCAGAGATACATGGAGTGTTCAGACTGTAATAATCCTATACAAAAGTACTCTGTCCCAAGAGTAAGTTTCTAGAATTGATTTCTTTTTACAATACTCTTAAAGGGTCAGTGAAGATTCTGTACCACCAAAGAATCAGATTAATAATTCACCAAGAGGGCTGGGGATTTAGCTCAGTGGCATAAGCGCCTGCCTTGCAAGCAGGTGGTCGTGAGTTCGATCCCCGATACCTATAAAAATGAAAAAGACAAAAAAAAAAAAAAAAAAAGAAAAAAGAAATTCACCAAAGCAAGCTAGAACTCAGTTCCTTATTATCTGCATGGTATCTATGAGAAAAAAAAAGTGGTTGGGAAGATGTGTATAGAGTAAGGACATTCACAATTTTGATCTGAAAATATTCTTAGGATTCAAGATTTATTTTATTTTTGATATGGTCCATGTAAAAAGTCTTATTTTTATGACAGTTTGCTCGGTTATTTGATTATTACCTTTAATTTACAAATCAAACATTGACAGCCCTGTGGGAGTCCTTCATTAGAATTTTGTGGTTGTGAAAATTCCTTTTTCTGAGAATTGTAGAATTGTTAACATAAGTATAACCACCTGTTTTTCCTTCTTATTCAAGAGCTCAGGTAAGAGGTCTTGTAGGACCCTAAGAAAAATTTCCCATGAACTTTTTCACAGGGAAGCAATCATTAATTTTGAAAATGTAGTCATTACTTTTGTTCTTAGCTTATGACTCTAGTTTATGTCATTAGTAGTTTAAATATCTTTCATCAATTTTTGTCACTACATCTATCCAAGTTCGCTCTGTTCCAGGACAGTCCATGTACACCCATTGTCAGAGATGTGACATTCACATCGTTGGAGTGCATTGGCTTTGCATTGCTGTGACAAAAAGAAAAGCAGTTTACAGTAGGAAAGGTTTATTTTGGCTGATGAATACAAGTGTGGGGTCTGAGACAAGGCAGAGCACGACAATGAAAGTGCAAGAGGCTGCTCCCCTCAGCCCGCTGGAAACAGAGGCCCAGGGAGGAAGCGGCTGGGACAGGAAATAGTTCACAAGTTCACACCGTGACACCCTCCCTTCTGTTTTCTACTCTTCCAAATAATGCATCAAATTATTACTCTATTAATGATTGGTCCACTGGACTAGTCAGAGTCCTCATGACCTAGTCATCTCCCAAATGTCTATCAGTGGGCAGTGAAGTCCTTTAGCACATGACATTAGAGGGGCATTTTAGATGCGAACCATAACGCTTGCTCAGATACCCTTGCTGCACTGCAGAGCAACTCCAAGATTTCCTCCAGTAAATTGCCTTCTCTGAATAAAAACCACCCAAAATTGCTAGTCATGTTTATTCATCAATAATATATTAATACAACTCAATCAAAATTAGATTTTCTGAATTGCATGTTTTAATTTTAAATTTCCCATAGTAACTAACAATAGTACTAACTACAGCAACTGAATTTATAGTATTATAACCTACAATGTTGTATAGGTACTCATTGTGGAGTGAACATTGGGGTATATATAGTATAAACTAAAAATATATTTGCTTGATTGGAAAATTATGTTACTCTGAAAAGTCATTGGTATGCTGAGATTTAGCTTTTTCATCAATAAAATAAATTCAAGTCTATATTTTAAAAATGTTTTATTAGTATAAATTTTATGATCAAAATGCTTATGCTGGAAGCAGAAGGGCAATACTTGTAATTGAGTTATTCTTTAATTCAGATCCATGTTACCACTATTTTGAATTTCATCTTCAAAATTATTTGTAAAGGTATAAGATAGAAATAATCCTCGACTGACTTTTCAGAAAATCAAACTATATTTCAAATTTTCTAATTATTATCCATGTAAATTCAAGTTTCCTGGTCTTTTATTTTCTCATTAGTTAAAAAGCTCCATCTGCTTCGTAGGAAAGGCATATGAATAACTAATATTTCATCCCCATGTTGGTTACTTTTCTCTTGTTTCTGAGAGAAAATAGTTGTCTCCCAAAATGAAGGAAGGAAAGGTTTATTGAGCTTAAAGTTTGTGAAGGTTTCCGACTTTACTTGGCTGGCTCCAAGGCAGAGTGGCACGGCTGAGGTGCAACACTTTAGGGCAGTCACAACAGTCCTTTAGGGCAGTCCCCTTTAGGGACAGGGCAACAAGGACAGAAGGGAAAAGTGCTCCTCCATCTCTTCCTTATACTTTACCCTGTGTCCCCAGCCCTGGGCGGGTGCAGCACTCACACTCATACCACTAGACTCAGCAGCTTTCAAAACGCCTGCACTGCATGACTATATGAGGTTTGGGGAGCATTTAAACACAAACCATAACAATCCCAAAAGCAAACTGAAAATTTTGAAACACTTTATAAAGTAGGGATTAATTTCACAATTTTCCAAAGACAGCCTAGAAGTAATGTCTTGTCATTGGTATCTGTTTTGGCCTGTTACTCGAGCTGCTATATTTCTACAAAATTATTCCTTCTGTAGATTATGTGAGGCATATCAATTGCCTGAAAATAATATATACAACCAATTCTGCCCTACTTCAGCTTAAAAAATATTCGTGTAAAATAGAGAAGCCCAGAGAATTTACAATGCTTCTTTTGAATCCAAGGAAGCCAATAGCTCTTAGAACAGAAAGATGTAAAATTTACATGTTTGATCTTAAGACTGGTGCTTATTATAAGTAACACATTTATGGACCTTTATAACAAATCTGCAAAGTATATAATATGAAGCAAAGGTACCATTTTTATATGATGACAACACTGGCTTGAGCTCAAAATATATCCTGCTTTCAAGAATTAGGATGTGTGTTTTGTGTAAGATAAGATTTTGAGATTTTGTGACCCACACAACTTTAGAATTATTTTTTCTGTGCCATGCCTCAGTCAATACTTTAAGAATTCCAGATGGAATATGTGATATTCAAATTAATCTCAGAGATTCTATGTTCCTGAAATTCTCTGGTAGGCTAAAGCAAATGTCTCTCAAATATATCTATGGTACTCAGGAAATCCACTTTATATGAAAGAGGGTAGAGCTTTCCAAAAGTACTACAGTGAGGATCATGATATAGAGAGATGTATGATCCAGATTGTTCCTTAATCCGAAATGTAGTCATGTGCATCCTTCCAATTTTGCATAGTAATCTTCACTCAAAACTGTCTCTTTTTTTGAGATAGCAAAGGCAGAAATAAGAGTGATACAACTACAACCTAAGCTGGAACAGACAAAGAAGGAATGATCTATAGGTCTTCCTGAAGGAATGAAAATGAATCAAAATTTTACTGTGGGCCCATTATCTCTATTGTAGGAGAATAAATATTATTGGTTTAAAATACCACATTAGTGAAAATTTGTTCCATAGAAAACTAATAAAGAGTCCAATATAATGGATTTTCATCAACACCTGGAAGGAAGAATTTCCCACACACTGAGTTATAAGTTTTGTGGTGCTCATGACACTGCAGGCTAAGACTGGAAGCTGTATGTGATTTCATCCCAAATGCTTATGGTAGGAGAGATCACATATATGGGAAGTGGTTATAGGGTCCTAACGATAGAAAGCTCATCTGTGTTTGTCTACTTGAAGCAGTGAAACCAATCAACTAAAATACACTATTCCATACTTACAGTGAGGACCACTTTGCATTTTTGTTAATTGACTAGACTGATGCCTTAATGTTCTTTTAACATTTAATCTAAAACTTGAATTTTGAAGTTTGACAAATTTATCAAAACACTTTTAATCTCAAAAAAAGAATCAATCAAAAGTGCATACACTATTCAGGAGAAAAATTTGTATGAATATTTTAAAAGTAAATTTATTTAGACATCATGAGATTAGTCCAAGTTATCCTTACACTATATATTTACAAAAGATGGTGACATGGTGGCCATTAGGTCCCAGACATTTATTTTCTTCTGAAGTATGTATACATTTTTTATACTCTGTGTACAGTATGATTACATTTTATCTTTTAAAAAGTGTACCTGAATTTTAATTAAGGACTTAATTCTGTTTAATTCTGAGGCTTTCCCAAGGAAACCAAATCCCGTTCTTTTGTACAATGTTTTTTTTTTTTCAAATTGAATGAATCTATACAGCTCTCCATGGAAATTTAATAGTAACTCAAAGTGCATATAATTCATTCAAATACATTCTTGTCCCAATCCTCAGGAAAACCTTCTTATCCATTTAACTATATCAGCTCTGGTTTCAATCAGGAAAGAACAATATTGCCATTCTAATAATAAAATCTGTGATATTTACTTGCCTTTTCTCTTCTAATACCTATTTTTCTGAAACATTTCCAGACTGTCTTATCAGAATATTTTATGTCTTTGTTCGAATTATCATCAAGTCTAAAATACATACTTTGACAGCTTTCCGTCTGATTTCTTTTCTTGCTACTGATAAGATCCCACTTTATCAGGTACCTACATCTGCACAACCACTTTCTTCAATGCATTCTTCACATCCTTGTTCCTCAGGCTATAGATCAGGGGATTCAGCATGGGAATCACTGTGGTGTAGAACACAGAAGACACTTTCTCCTGGTCCATATTGCTGGAAGGGGGCTTGAAATACATGAATGTTATAGACCCAAAAAAGATGCCCACTGCCATGAGATGGGAGCTACAAGTGCTGAAGGCTTTGGACCATCCTTCACTGGGGCGAATATGGAAGATGCTGGAGAGAATGAAACCATAAGAGATGAGGACAGCTAGATTAGGTGCTAAGGTATTAACTCCTCCGATAATAAACAGCAGTACCTCGTTAATGTGAGTGCTGGAGCAAGACAGAGTCAGCCCAGTGAGTATACCACAGCCATCATTATGGAGCAGACCCTGTGAGACATAACAATATTATAAAGCAGTGGCCTGCAAATAGCAACGTAACGGTCATAGGCCATGGCCGTCAGAAGGTAGCCTTCCGCAATGACAAAAACAAGGAAGAAGTAAAGCTGAGTCATGCACTCCAGGAAGGAGATAAAGTTCCTTTCTGACAGAAAGTTCACCAGCATTTTAGGGGTAATGACTGAGGAGTAGCACAGGTCAATGAGGGACAAATGACTGAGAAAATAATACATTGGAGAGTGAAGTTGAGAGCTGACGATGACCAAGAGGATGATGCCCAGATTGCCTGCCACTGTGACCATGTAGATTCCAAGAAACAAGAGAAAGAGTGCCCACTGAAGCTCTGGATGTTTTATTAACCCTTCAAGGATGAAATCAGTCACAGAAGAGTAGTTCGAAGTAGTCATTTCTTACAAAATATTATCTGCAGGAAGAATAAGAGAGAGGAGGAACAGTAGATATATTTTTTAATTCCCAAAGCAAAAAGATCTTTCTGATTGTTTTCTGCTTGATGGCTTTGTATGTGTCATGATTTTGTTCTTTCCAAGGACCTCTTAAAAACTCAAAATCTCTGAATGGAACAGGCTTGGCTCCAATCGAACTGATCCATTTCAATGTTCCGGTTTAAGGCAGTGCCATTTGCTTTTGTAGCTTCACTTTGGGAAGTGTTAATTACGAGATTTTCATAAAAACCACAATCTTCACAGACTGCTGGTCAAGAATCCCCATCTTCCTGTATGAGGGGTACAGCAAACAGTGAAAAAAAAAAAAAAAAAAAAAAACACAAGACAATATAGAAGTGTAGGGCAGGGCTGGAATGTCAGTGCCTCAGGATGGGCAAAGACCAAAACGTCTTTGGCTGGCCCAGTTTTATTTTTTCCAGTGAGAGGTGCAGAGAGAGGGTGAAGATACACTTCCCAGAACAGGGATAAAGTAATAGAAAAAGATAGACATCACAAAGAAAGAAGGCCCTTTCCCATACATGGGTACCTGCCCTCCTTGTATGGTCCTCACCAGATCTCATCCTGCTCTGTGAGCACCACAGCCTCTGACCATTAAGGTCTCAGCAGTGGCCAGGAGAAAGGGGAGTTTCCCTGTTCCAAACCAACCCACAAGGCAAGGCAAACACTGACTTTGAGCAGACCCTAGCCCCAATTTATGATTTGCGGTCCCCAACATTTCTCCTTTCTGTGTATTTGATTTTAAGTTGAGTCAGAGTTAGCTAGGGCTGTAGAGCCGCTAGACATTGATGAGTTTGACCTCTTCCATGGCTAAGAATAAAATCAGATGACATAAACAAATCACTATGAGTGTAACAACACACAACTGGAAGTGAGCTTTGAGATATTTAAAAGAATCTAATTGGTGGAGGGTATCAGAAAATTTACCTCAATCTAGTATTTGTTTATCAAAACCTTGCATTTGTTCATCACACTAATTAGTAATTAGAGCTTGGTATCTATTTTGTGCTGCATCTTTTAAGCCTGCATGCAGTGAGCATGAGCAGCAGAAGAGACAGCCACACAGATCAGCAGCACTGAAGAGATAATTTTAGCAAAATTAGAGTTCGTATGTAGATCATGTTAATCTACATTTTTGTTTACAGTATTAAAATACCTCAGTACATGCAAAAGCATCTTCAGACTCTGACCTCAGGGTTTCCAAATCTAGATCTGAAGTTATAAAAGTAGGACATTCCAATTTCCCAACCTGCATACCTGAATCAATATAATTAGCATTCTACACAATTGGGAGATGTCTACAAAGACATCTATGAAGAGGTCTCAGGTGTAGAAAGCACTGGTAGAAATGACTACAAACCTCTTCAGACCCTGGTCCTCTCTCTTCTGTCCTCTGAATGAACATCTTGTGTGAGCCTAGACTTTTTCAGGGTGAATGTGACAGACAGAAGTGTGGTGCCATTCTTTTCTTGCAGCACAGTTTAGACTTTTCTAGTTCCAGAAGCAGTAAAGCAGTAGGGTTGACTTTCAAGCATTAAAAAAACAGTACTGCCCATCCTGATGCATCCCTCCTCCTGTCCATCATCCAAGACAAACCCTCACTGACCATCTTTCCAAAGGAGGTAGAATAAAACTGCCGATTTTATGGATCATTGACAATTTGTTCCTAAATTTCAATCAGAGCAGAAATATTTCATATTGTCTAAAGTATTAAGAATGGTAGCTTTTCATTGAATCATGTGGATAACAAAAAATGTTACTCTGATTCATAATACAGTATCATAACTGTGACATGGCTTTAAACTATTTTTCAAAATGGAAGAATCAATGTATATATTCCATATGTAAAACAATAGCTTGCTTTTATTTTTGCAAAAACCAATATTTGTGATCACAAACGTATTAAAAGTTGCTAAGGTATATTTTCATTGTATACCTTCTCTAACATGTGAAGGATATTCAATATATGTATTGATTTAAAGGCAGAATTAGATGAGGCTCTATCTCCAAGAGAACATGAGAAAAGTGCCAGGTCTCTGATTGCAGCAAGTTAGATTCTACGCTAAGAGAAAAAGCACCCGAGAATCAACATTCAGCTCCAAGTAGCCCCATCAACAACTGTGAAACTGGACCATCTGAGGGCAAATGCTCTGAACTTGTTCCTTGAATCTTAAGAATCCGAGTGATGAAACAGATTAGAACAAATGTCATCACACTGTGAAAGTCAGCCCAGGCAGAGATGGGCATTATGGATTTAGATCCATTCAGGGTGTACCACAGTTTATGAATAGATTTACACAAGCTAACAAATTCCCTTTCATAATCCCAAATGACACAGAATTTTTCCATGAGGAAGAGTAGTCTAGAGTCAGATCCACAGAATGTATGTCTTTTTGTGTTGGAAAGAAATTCCTGATTATTTTGAGATTAAAACTACTGATCTGTTAGGGTAAGTAAAACTAATTATTGTTTTCTTTGATGAGCTCAGTAGTTTGAAGAAAGTAACAGAGAGGTAGCAGGATTTTATGTGTCTATAGATAATTGCTGAGTCACTTAAAAATTCCAAAACAAAACGTGTGACTAAACACATTTCAGAAGCCAATGTATCACAATATGAGTATGCAATATCCATTTAGTAATGGCCCACATTGGTAATCTGTAAGAGCCATGAGGAAATAATTTTTCATACGCTTGCAGGCATAAAAGCATGAAGCACTGAAATTTAAAGGGGTGGGGAGGGTGAAGAAGCTGTTAGATAAAGCTGCGGGTAGCAAGAAGAGTGGTGAATAGCCACATGGAAGGACTCCAGAAAACTATTTTTCAGTGGTAAAAAGAGACTCTCAAAATACAAAGTTATCTAATATGCCAGAAAATTTGATCATGTGAAAATAGACACAAATACTTATGATAGTTCATGTGCAAAACGGTTGGCCCCCGCTTCATCCAGATGAACATTTATTTGTTTTTAACATATTCAGCTCACAGAGGCAGGGGAATATGCAACGTGCAATATTTAAATATCCTATGAAAGTAATTGAGTGAGTGCCTTATGGATGATCAAAAATAATAAGGCATTCACATCTATGCAATTTCACTGAAGATGAACATTCTTTATATCCAGTGAAAATGCAAATAAGGAACTACTATCTGTAGTACTCTCTATAAGCAGAGAAAATGCTGCTTTATTTTTCTGCATATTTTTCTCCCCCCATCTTTAGTGACCTATGATGTTACTACCTTTGAAGGTTTGTCTAAAACTATAGTAAAACACATAAAAGTGAGTGCTTTCAATTCTGAGACACACGAAACCATTACCATAAAAGCAGCTGGTTGTTTGTAGTATCTGAATTTAAGAATGGAAGAATATACACTGCTCATCATATCCATCATCATGTCACTCATAAATTTAATATAAATAAATATAAAATATGTATTTGTCTAATGGGAAGAAAAATAAATTTTGGTGTTTGCTTCTTTCATCTAACATGTATAATTGTACAACAATGATCACAAATCACTAGTTTTTAGATATACTCTCTAGAGTGGGTATTGATCTGTTATTTTCTTCCATAGTGAAGACAGCATTTAATAAAATTAACCTAAACTAATTTCTTTATGGCTACAGAATACATAGTTACAATAATTGCAGAAATCCTACTGTTTTCCCTTTTAAAACATAATTTATTTAAAAGACAAGAAAATTGCAAAGACAGAAATTCATATTGCAAAGTCTCTTGTACTCTGTTAAGGCAGGTGTTTTTGTCAAAATAAAAGGATGCTTAAATCGAATCCTTTAGGTGGTGAATGTGTTCGGAATTTTCATGAGATTCAAAGACAGTGGGAAGGATGTCCTCCTATACAGCATGTGCTGATCTGTCCCAAGATAATGTTATGAAACACCTGTGTGGAGGTCATTAGAACAAGATCTTTATTAATTTCACATCTTTTGCTCTCTGGCTGAATGGTTGCATCCACAGAAGAATTTCCTACTTGGAGATAGAAGGATGGACTAAACCCTGACTCCAGTCCGGGGCGTAGGTCTATGTGACCCGCGTATATTATTTACCTTGGGGCTTCATTCCTCCCACCATTGACGAAATAGCTGATAAAATAAAATCTGCTCAGAACCTTACGAGTATTAGGCCCCCAGATAATTATCAGTTACTCTTGTCTTTTTTTTTTAAATTCATACAATGCTTCATGAATTTGATTTCTGAATTATTCCAAAGCAGCAAGTACCCTTAACTAGGGACTTGAATTGGAAAGGAAGCAAATGCCCTCATTGCTTGAGATGATTCAGAGAAGAGTGTTTGTTCATGGCTCTCAGCAAGAAAAGTACTCTTGCATTTGGAAAATCAAACAAAACCAAAACCAACCCAAACAGAAGAACCCTTTGGATTATTTTGAAATAAATATGGATTGAAAGATTTCTGGGGTTTCTACATTGATTGTGGAAAAATGGTCAAAATTCAGTGTTCAGGGAAGGCTATAAATAGGACACATGATTTAGAGTGCAGAAGCTGTGTCTGCCTTGTGCCTCCTCTCTCTGCCCCGTCAAGGACATTTTTGACAGCAAACTGCTCACATTAGTACTGGGAGCAATAGGATATGCAGACACAATTGCTGTCAGCCTAGCTGAGCGTATGTGAGCCTTTCCTCATACAAAATGATCTCAGCCATTTATTAATCACTCACTACATGGTTAAGAGCCCAGACATAGCTTTATTTTGTTAATTTAGTAACAAGATTGCCAATTGTGCCTTTTGCGTGGCACGATTTACTATACAAAGACATCTACAAATGTAGATTCACAGGCAAGCCAATATGACAGACTTCAGGACAATCAGAGATTGAAGTACTTTCTCTGCAAGATGTGTTTGACTCATTTATGTTGCTTCTGACAGGAAACAGCAACACCGAAATGCAGATCATGGAAAATCGAGCCA